ACACCCCGGGTGATCCAGGTGGCGCAGCACTATATTGAGAATCTTTAGCTGGTCTGCTTATCTGGTTTGTACCGTACACCCCGGGTGATCCAGGTGGCGCACCACTATATTGAGAATCCTTAGATGGTCCGCTTATCTGGTTTGTAGCGTACACCCCGGGTGATCCAGGTGGCGCACCACTATATTGAGTATCTTTAGCTGGTCTGCTTATCTGGTTTGCAGCGTACACCCCGGGTGATCCAGGTGGCGCACCACTATATCGAGAATCTTTAGCTGGTCCGCTTATCTGGTTTGTAGTGTACACCCCGGGTGATCCTGGATTACCACCACCATCCACTCCATCGTACTGAGAATCCTTAGATGGTCCGCTCATTTGGTCTGTAGCGTACAGCCTGGGTGATCCAGGTGGCGGTGGTGCACCAGTATACTGAGAATCCTTAGCTTGTCTGCTTATCTGGTTTCTATCGTACACCTCGGGTGGTCCTGGATTCCCACCACCATCCACTCCGTCGTACCGAGAATCCTCAGATGGTCCGCTTATCTGGTCTATAGAAAACTTCGCCGGTCTGCTTATCTGGTTTCTAGCGTTTACCTCTGCGCCCAACTTGTCTCCTAATCTAGTTCTGATCTGGTGTTTTGGGTGCAATCCCGGTGGTGGCCCAGCATTATCCACTCCCTCATTCTGGGAAGAATTCGCCGGTCTGCTTATCTGGTTTCTGACGTATCTAATCTGTATCAAGTAAAGTAGATTATGTAAGAAATCTCGGATGTTGTCCACCATGTTCTCAATCTCGATGTCGATCTCTTCCTTTTCAGATATGTTATCATCTTGTCCCAGAAAATCATCTACCCCAGGGTACTGATCACCATCTGGAGCTTTTGGGCCCTGATAGTCGTCGTCCGGCGCTAACTTACTCAGACGTAGAAAAGGTTTATAGTCGATTGGTTTACTAACCAACTCATCTATCTTCGCAAACCGTAGATTTGACTTCAGACCACCTCCTAGACACTGTTGAAAGGCACTGAAATAGAAACAAAATATCAGAATTTTAAACATCCTGACTCTCGGTAGGATGAATATCTGCCCGAACAAGGGACTGAACTCGGTTTATATCATCTACTTTCTATCTGTTATCGGACAGGTAGCAGCAGGTGGCCATGGAGATAACTGACCATCCATATTCATTTGATTGGCATTTAGTAATCAACATATTAACCCAGGTTAGTATTAGTATTAACCTCAGTAATTGTGTATCCATAAAATTGTACCTTGTGATTTACATTACTATTCAAGTGGAGGATTAAAGTGAAGGTCCCTTATACATTCCACCGCGACGTAAATTCGACATCATTGATGTCACAAGTTTCTACCACGAACTTGCAATTCACGATATACCTCTTGCAGAACGGTTTAAATTTCAGCATTTGCTGTTTTCATTGTCTATTTCTTAAAGTAGCTAAGTCCGTAACTCAATATCATCCAAAATCTTCGACATTGGAACACGATTTTTTTGCAATTTAAATCAGCATTGGTGTTGTGATCTTACCTGGAAAATATGGGCTTCTGATATCCAATATTTAAGACAAAATAAACATTTTACCATTGGTACACGAATCGTGTACCATAATGCGTTTCAGCACCATTTGTAACAAGGTGCTCAAAGAATGAGGTTAGACATATTCCACAAGTCATGTCAAACGGTGATATCATGTTCTTATTTGGAGAGCATGCGCAATAAATAATATCGGTGTTGACTGGAATAACCAGACGCTAGAAACTGACTTGCTTTTCAGACTTCTGGCGTATTTCGCCGAACATAACTGATGACAATTCACAGTAAAACGGACACGATTGAATGTAAAACAGTTTATATAAATTCATATTACATTATTATGTGTTGCGACCCATTTGTGCCAATTTCTGGGGCCCAAAATATTAGCGATTTAGCTCCTTTAACTATAACTGTCAGCTCTTTATCTAATCTTACCTAATTCCCCTTTAATAATGCCGTGTTGAAATATCGGGAAGGAACTTTTTTAATGAAACAAACTGAGTTTATTGTATTTTTATACATGTGGACGTATATTGTCGTCGCCCCTGTCCATCTGGACGTCCGTTCAAAATTTGTTTGTGGACACTCTACTGGTCACAATTTTTATCCGATTTTGACGAATTTAAAATATAGGTTTATCCCCAAAGATCTCAGTTCCTTTCGAAACTAGCATGTACCAGACCGTAACGTCATGGTTTAGGGCCCTGGATTGTAGGAAAAGTCACGTTTTTAGCTTGTTGACATTCTAGAGGTCCGATTTTGATGAAACTTGAAATGTATGTTTATAACCCAAAGACCCTTCGACATTCGCGCATATCAGACTGTAACTTCCTGGGGCCTGTTTCACGAAATTTTAACTAAGATAAAATCCAAATTTTACTAATTTGATTGGATAATATTAGATTGATTTTAGTGCTTAGTCAATCAAAATTAAAGTATCTACTAAAATTGGATTTTATCTTTAGTTAAAATTTCGAGAAACAGGGCCCTGGATTATGGCCCCTGATTGTACCAATCGCTTTTTTATTATAATATAGCTTGTTCTATTGCAAAATGTGGGTATATCTTGCATGGCAACCACTTGTTTTTATCCAAATGAAATATGGTTTATCATTCTACTTGTCGATAATGAAGACAGAATTGTAGATTATACCTAAACATTCATATTTCTGAGAAGGCTTAAACATACACTATGTGTATTGCAGGTCTTTCTTTAGGCCTGAAATGTTATATAAACTATTAATTACACATTTATTAACAAAACAAGACCATAATCGACTCTCGATGGCATCGGATACTCGAGATTTTAACTAGATTAAAACGGTTCGCCATTTAAAAATTTAATTTAAAAGTGGGAAAGCGAGGCTAAGTCTCGAACATACCAGTGCCTTGGTTACCACTGTACATACATCTTGTCAAAACTACAAACAATGATAACTTGGCTGAGAATGAAGTTATTTGATCGAAATTTTCAATATTTTCTTTTTTCATCATCTATTTTTTAATTATTATAGCAAAAATGACAAACTCTTTATTAAACTCTTAACGGATGTATCTTTAAAAATTAAAATGAATTGAAATGGGGTTTATTGGTACCTCAAGCTGTAAACAAGGGAACAGCTTGTTATCAGTTAGACCACAGAAAAAATATACCAATATCTATATATATTTACGGTCCGGCAAGTCTATAAACTATTGTTTAAAAGAGTTTAATTTGAGTATAAAATGTTATCAGTTGTAGGTCAACCAACAAATAATCGATTATTCGGACTGAGTCGTGTCATACAATGTATATCCAAATTACACAAACTAAAAGTACAACCCAAACTGTCTTCTTAAACATACATTATGCAAGAGAAATTTCTGCCTATTGCAGGTCTTTCTTTAGGCCTGAAATGTTGTCTAAACTATTTAAACAAACATTATGTAAGAGCTAAATCTGCCTAATGCAACTCTCGCCAGCCTGCGATATTTACTGGATTATTATCCGATTTGCTGCTCAAGTTTTATTTATGATTTAATCATAAAATGGATAATCGAGCCTATTTTTTTTTTTATTGTACCGCCTTTAGCAATGATGATCGAGGCTAGACTGAAAATTCAATCGCTAAAATCTTGTTTCAGGGTGGATCCATTTGACAGAAATTTTCGGCAAATTCCCTTTACATTATCTAGTTTTTAACTATTATAGAACTGCCAGCTCGTTATCTAATCTTCCATTATGCCCCTGTAGTATTCCGGACCTAGGGGAGAGAGGGAGAGAAATGGGGTTTAACGTCCACTCGACACAAACTAGGTCATTTCGGGACTAACACATGGTTCAATTTTATTTCAATAATTCACTTGCGCACAGGGGTCTTTAGCAGTGGGAGGAAACCGGACGACCCGGAGAAAACCCGTGAGGTTGGACAGGTGACCTACCTCCTTGTCACGTACACCCAAGGAATCGAAACCCCGCCAGTTGACTCAATGACAGACCGTATGATACAGTGTGCACATGCTAACCATTCGGCCATCCAACCCCTCGGACCTAGGGTATGTAAGGATATTATACATTGATATTCAGTTGTCTAAATCCTATAAAACTTACCAAAAAGTTTTTTACCTTTATGTACTCAGAAGGTCGACTTTGGGTCAGCATTAGCTACGAGAACAACTAAAAACGCAGAGATATACTGATGTGCTTGTTTTTAGCTACGATTGGATGCCTTTAGTTCCAAGTAGCAAACTCAATTTCTTTATTAAGGCATGTAGGCCTACCATTTTTACAATTAGTAGTTATTACACATACGCAGTCCAATCTACTGAAACAACATTCATTTATCAGCAAATATTGACAATAAAGTAAATCAAGCGTTGTTTTTATCAAAATTGATTTGGACGTTCATAATTACGGCGTATTACTGCGCAACTCTGATCAGATTAATAGTTCTTTGATTGGATATTGCACACGAGGCCCCGCCTTTATGTGTTACAGACGTAAATTTAAAAGTTAGGATATGCTTAATTGTAGTTGGGTGTGGCAGAAATATTATAAATAACAATAATAAATCGTTGTTTTGATTAAAATATTACTCCGTGGCACTGGGAGGAAATGCAACCCCACCCACATATAAATATCGTTTTTTGGACAGCTAAGTCCTCAGACCTTTAACAGATATTAACTTTAGCCTCTACTGCGATCAAAAGCAATTGTGGATGACGGACGGACAGATGACAATATACCACCATATTTCAGTGTGGGCTAATAAAAAAAAAACACTAAGACTAATTCCTTCCGATAACAGCTAAGTCCTCGGACCTTTAAACACTGTGTATAAATTTAATCTCAATCAGACATTAACTATAGCCTCTACAGCGACCAAAAGCAATTGTGGATGATAGACGAACAGATGACAATATACCACCATATTTCAATGTGGGCTAATAAAAAAACACTAAGACTAATTCCTTCATATTATTTTATTATTCTAATGATCTAATGTAAATTTACATTGGACACAAGGTTATACACATATATCACACTTATTCTTAGGTCTATCTGATTTCAAAATGAATATAACATATAACTAGACACACTGTATACATCATTGGACAGAAGGTCATACATGTGAAGAGTCCATGGGAAGAACGATCCAAGTCACAGTTTTGTCTTTTCGCATAAAAGGCAAAACAGACTTTTGGACGAGAACTTGTCTGCGATATCACCTCGGTGGAAGCGGACGTAAAATACAACTAACTCATCATTTGGACGAGAATGCTTGACGCGAACAGAACAACGAGTGGGTTAAATTACAACTTCAAAATGATGTTTAATACGACTCATAATTACCAGTTCAACAACTGACTTCCACTTTTCAGCCAAATTAAGGTCAAATAAAGTGCACGATGGACCTATTTGTCCGGGGGCCATTTCAGAAAGGTCTTGGTTCGATGTGACTCCGATCGTTTTTACCTGAAATTGATTGTTCCACAGAAAGCTTATACAATTTGCTACCTGATGGTGCCATTACCTGGGGTTCGTTGAAAAAGTGACTTAGATCGTTCTTCTCCGGGGTCTTATTGTTAGATATATGTACTGTTTCAATAATCTACATCACGATTTGAATATAAATATAACTAAATATAGTGTATACATCATTAAAGGGAGACAATAACACTCTTGCTGGCTTGAAAGCTCCAGAAAATAAATATCTCTATCTAAGTACTAGATGTTTAAGTGTCCTACCTGTTGTGTAAATTATCCATTACATCCTATTTTACTTGTCCAGAGGGTTCGAAAATATTTTTAAATCGAAGTTTCATTTGAAAAGGTTTACGTTAGACGTTTCAAACCATTATGTTGAATTTTTCAAAAATTTTAAATAAGGTGTGTTAAGATGAAATTTGTATCATCAATTAATTGAAATATTCTAAAATAGTACAATTTGTTGACCAGAATAAAGATTGGGACATATTATTCAGTTACAACAAGAGTGGTATGGAGCCTTTAAATGTATAATATGAATCAAACAAACCATTATAAATAGACTACTATATATTAAGCCTAGAAATAGAGAACATGTCACAGACAATGTCAGACACAATTTCTCTAGTACCGGTCATTTATCTATTGTATAGGAGGCAGAGAGAGATGGGGTTTTCTGGACGCTTGTGCGTAGGGGTCTTTAGCAGTGGGAGGAAACTGGAGGGCCCGGAGAAAACCCACGAGGTTGGACAGGCGACCCTACTCCTTGTGACATACAACCCGGGAATCGAAACCAAGCCAGCTGACTCAATGACAGACCTTATGATACAATGCGCATTAGTATTTAACACGAAGATAAAAATATCAGGTACTAGTTCAGTGGTGCCTGACATTTTGACAGGTGCAACTAAAAGCCTTTATTTCAAGGCCTACCTACTGTTAATATTCATCAACTATAGAAAGTGACATTATTAGACCCACCCACATACCACAATCCAGGTCACTAATTTATATACAAGTAATAAGGAGTATAGAAAGTTTTATATATATATATATGATAAAGGCAAAAAAATATGGTTAGTGCTAAATGATAAGGCCAACTCAATTTTTTTCGTCATAGGTCACGCCCAACCCTCGCCCCAATGCTTACCCTAACCCACAATCTCGCCAACAATCACGTGCCCTAACCTTATTTACATCTTAAGGACCTTGACAAAAATTGAGCTGGCCTTAACAAATAGCTTTAGCCGAAAAATATGCTAAACAATTTACCCTCTAGTTTTTAGTAGTCGGATTCGAGCATGCGTGCAAAATCTGATGGTGTGTATATTTTAGTCCAACAACAATTATTGTCTATGCACAAGATATTTGTACAGATATTCCAATGAAATTGATTTATGATAATATTTTGGCACAGCCCATCTCAAATACCTTAAAAAAAACTGTACTGACAACTTAAAAACAGATCATGTGCCCCTTTTTAAACAATGTGGCCCTTTTTTACAATGTTGCCATTTTTAAAGTGACAGTATTTCGAAACCAGAATATTGTTTTTTTATGACCTAAAATTTTCTGTGAACATTAATTTTCTTTGTACGTGCATAGTGCAAAATGGGTATGCATCTGCATACCTGTACAGTTTAGAGGGAACAATGATGCTAAACTAAAGATAGAACTTTCCAGGGATCAAGAAACATTTGGTGGGATATATGTAGTTACTCTGATCTACAAATATAAGGTAATATGATTTATAAAACGATCCATCAACAAATCATTAGAAACATTCATTCATGATGCGAACCCCAATAATTTGATAAATGCAATATAAAACAAAAATTCTTAATTCAACAAATCAAGCACACGATAAATGGTAAGTGCTAAATGATAAGGCCAGCTCAATTTTTTGTCATAGGTCATGAGATGGAAACAGGGCTAGTGCTAATCCTAACCCTAACCGTGGACCTAGCTCCAATGCTTACCCTAACCAACATTCTCGCTAACAATCACGTGCCCTAACCTTATTTACAGCTCACCGACCTTGACAAAAATTAAGCTGGCCTTAACAAATAGATTTATCCCACGATAAATGCATTATTATGTAATACTCATCATCAGTGATGTGACACATATTTTCATTTGTTTATGTTTGTCTTCATGAGTCCAGGAAGCATTCTCAGACTTATGTTCAGAATTTACTCAAAATTGTTCACCTTATTTTAACTAAAATACAACCGGTTATAAAACTTTTGTTGTTTTAATGTATCAAATATATCAATAAGAAACCATGTGCAAAGTCTTGTGTTTCTGGATCAAAGATATTTCTCATAAACAGTGATTGAAATTTGAGTAAATTCTGAACTTATGTCTGTGTGTAGAACTGTAGAAGGTTAATCCCCATTCATTTATTCATTGTCGAGGTTGTGTTTGTTCAAATATTATTGAGGTAATTTATCAAGTAAATATGGACGAAAGCATTTTTGGCATTATCAATAACATAAGCATTTACCTATCATATACAATCTGATTAAAATACAGATCTATATTTTGTTTCGTTTTTTTATACTTTCGATGGCCTACACTACATGAAGATCTGACCAGTTGTAGTGGAAGGTCGCATCAGATGTACGAGCAGCTTTTGACCCTATGACATCAGACATTGATAAATCAATCAGTGTTGACGTTTCTAGTGGTTTACCCAAAGCTCCCTGCACCTCCCGCCACAAACTCACCATAACAGACCATTTCATTGGCCAATCCCTTATATCATCCAGAACGCAGGTTATTCTAGTGTAGTAAAGACAAGTTAAACGAAATATTGAACTATAAAAAAACAAAGTAAAATAGGATCTGTGTTTTAAACAGATTGTTATCTTATACCAAACAAAATATTATAATGCTAGGTTTCCACTGTCAAGAGAGAGAGAGAGTTTAACGTCCACTCGACACAAACTAGGTCATTTCGGGACTAACATATGGTTTTAATTTTATTTAAATAATTCGCTTGCGCGTAGAGGTCTTTAGCAGTGGGAGGAAACCGGAGGACCCAGAGAAAACCCACGAAGTTGGACAGGCGACCCTACTCCTTGTCACGTACAACTGGGGATTCAAAACCATGCAAGTTGACTCAATGACAGGCCTTATGATACAGCACGCGTGTGCTAATCATTCGCCCATCCAACCCCCCACGAATGACCTCGATATATGATAACACTTGATAGAATCTCCACGATTACTTCGCGACTAAAACCACAATTTCAATCGTAGCGCGAACAGTGCGAACCTAGCATAATGAAACAGTGTGTTCGAACAAGCAACATCATTTACACATAACTTAGCATAAAACAAAATATACATAATTTTAATAGATTTTTGATAGTTATGGGTATTTATTTTTACTAAGATGTTAAGAGATGAGAATAGCCAGATATAACTACCAGTTAGTCTTAATTTTTTGTTTACCTTTAGGTTTTTTTCCTGTCAACTCTATCGAACAATTAACATTTGCAGGCCTGTAAATAGCGAGGGGGTGGGGCAGCCCAACCAATGTCACTTGACATTATGCGGCGCCCATACTGATATGGGCACATTGGTCGTTGGCTTCATATTGCGTCTAATGGAAAGGGCGCAGTTCAGCACCCAGGGGGACAGGTGCCCCCCTTGCCTCCCCGCTAGCTTCGGGGTTGATTTGAAGCTCACAAAAATGGCCTGCTCAAGTCCTCAAAATTAAAACAACATAAATTGAAGACAGCTTTTACTCTCTTTATTTGACGACCAACTACCGTCGTCCCTTTTTCTATATTCTTGATTCAAACAAGTCAACTTTTTCTCTCTGTGTTTGCAGTAAATCGGCATGTTTAACTACTGGTTCATTAATCTCATTCAGACCATTTTGATAAAATCAGAATAATTTAACAAAATAACAAATTTAAATAAAATAAATTTAAAAAATAAAAATGGAGACAATATATGGGACTTATAATAATTTATTTGATACAAGAAAAAAAAATATACAGAAAAAAAAAAGTTTTTAAATTAAAATCTTAATGCATCTTTAAGAAAGACCAAGAGATACAAGTTAGAAGTCAATGTTATATAATTATGACTAGTTAATCAATTGAAAAAGAAACACTAAATTTGAAATGTTATAAACATATTGCAAGTCAGCCAAATGATTCACAAGATTTTTTGTTATAGCAAATAAAGCAATATTCAGGTAGTTTTCCTCTGTTATTGATTAACCTTGATACCATTACCATATAGATATGTTTTGTATGTATGTGTGTGAATAATCTTACAACAGTGGGAGGAAACTGGTGGACCCAGAGAAAACCCACGAGATTGGACAGGCGACCCTACTCCTTGTCAAGTACAACCACGCCACTTGTCTCATTAACTGACATTACAATACAACACGCACCCCATAACCATTCGGCCACCCAATCCCTGCAACAAGTGCTTGGAGTTCTGATGTTCTGAATGCAGTTTATATTCATTGAAATAACCGCCGACGCATTCCACTCTCTGTGTACCATGTGTATATGCACCAAAGTGCACAGGGGCCTGATTCACGAAATTTTAACTTACGATAAAATCCAAATTTTAGTAGATACCTCAATTTTGATTGGCTAAGCACTAAAATCAATCTAATATTATCCAATCAAATTACTAAAATTTGGATTTTATCTCAGTTAAGTTTTCGTGAATATGGGCCCAGAAATATTGTGTCAAATCGTCTGATATAGGGGATGCTCGATTCAAAGTCCAAAACGTCCCAAATTGACAGAATTGCAATCGAGTAACGCGGAATTCAGTTCTGTCATAATTCTGTCAGTCCCGACAACCTAGGTGGTGTGAGTAGAATCGTGACGTAATTAAATGGTTTCGGCTGCATGGATGGTTGAGATATTTACTTATTCAGTCGACGCATGCGTTGTAGCCCGAAATCCACCTTTTCACTCGATTGTCACTATTTTTGGGATTGAGAGAATTCAATTCCGGAACGTGCAATCGAGTACCCCCTTTATAAAACACCTTACGCCAAATTTGAAGTTGTCTCCCATACCTGAATGATATCACACGTTTTTTTTTTTTTAGATTGAGTCGATCCTACTGATAGATATGTAACATTTCTCATCTTATAAACCAAATCCTATTAATACTGTAATTATATACACCATAAATAGATATGCGACCCACGATGGCAAGATGAGTCGGAAGTCTCGACAAACCTCAGCGGATTTCGTTACTCTACATCTAGCCTCGACTGTATGGCGGTAAGTGATATGTACCTAAGCCTATACAATTGCGATGCGGCATCAGTTTACTTATTAGGAAAACTTGCCACTTTTAAAAAGAAGTTATCAAAATTGCGTCGTTCGAAGCGTGTGTAGAAATTTTAGTGCAAAGTTGTCCTTGTTTGAAGAAAATCGGATAACTTGAAAGAAAAACAGCTTCAGACTTTGAAATATTTGTATGATGAAACATTCTTCAAAGGCGTCATTATGAGCAAGGCCGTTGGTAATCCGTGAACTTGAAAGTAGTTCCAATAGCGGACTTCGTCATACAGTCGAGACTAGATGTAGGGTACTGGAATCTGCTGAGGTTTGCAGAGTGAAGTCTCAAGTCATTGTCCACGATATATGAATAAAACCATCGAAATAGACTAAAAATACGAAAAAAAATTAGTTTGCTTTATTTTTCAAATCTAAACTTTTACCTTTAGTCTTATATCAAAAAAAAGAAGATATTTTCAGACGATTTTTAACTTTTTTGCGACTTCCAACTCAATTTGTTATCACAGGTTACATATAGGTACCCAATTTACACACATAACATCTCTCACAGCCTCAATAACTATTTGATTATGTACATAACTTGTCATGACACATTATCTTATACAATTACAAAAAACAAAAACAAAACAAACAGAGAAAAAAAAAAAGGGAATGTTGTATTTGTTCCTTGTTGATCATATAGTCAGGCTTCATTTAGGGCAAACAGATCATCAACAAAGCATTTAATTAAACATACATTATGCAAGAGCTAAATCTACCTATTGCAGGTCTTTCTTTAGGACTGAAATGTTAGACATTTATTAACATGAAAAGAACATAATCAACTCTCAATGCCATCTCATGTGTCTGATTTTCATTGGATTTGAATCCGATCTGCTGTTTAACACCCATTGATAATTAACTGCAAAAATTATTGTGACAGTAGTGACAATTACAATGACAATTTGACTGAAGTTTTCAGCATATTCCCTTTACATTACCTAGTTTTTAACTGTTACAGTGAGAACTGTTAGCTCTTTATCTAATCTCCCATAACTCCCCTTTAAGTAGGCCTAAAATTTAATCGATAATATCTTGGTTCAGAGTGGATCAATTTGACTGAAATTTTCAGCATATTCCTTTTACATTATCTTGTTTTTAACTATTATAGTGAGAACTGCCAGCTCTTTATCTAATCTCCCATAATGTATCTTTAAGAATATTTTCAACTTTAATACCTTGACAGATGCCCGTAGTTGATCAATAAGATATTTAACGTGGTCAATGTCTTGATAGCATTTGAAAGATGCCAATCGTGGAACCGTAAGATATTTAAAGTAGGTCCAACCACAAATGGACCCAACCACTTCTGTTTCTTTGTTCTTGGTTAATGGATGTTTGTATTAGCAATATTAATAATGTGTGTCTATGTATATATAGATATATAACTATTTATAAATATTTCAAACACGATCACTACTTACTTATAGGCTCGATGGGTCATTTGCATTTTCACTAAAATATCAACTTTCTCACTGCTTAATACACACTAATATTTAATATTTAATTAAACATGCATTATGCAAGAGCTAAATCTGCCTCTTGTAGATCATTCTTTAAGTCTGAAATGTTTTCTAATCAAATATGGAGGACCGAGACTTAGCTTCGATCAATTTCAATCTATCAAAACTTTGTAAATACTAAGCAGAATTGAACCGTTTTTGGACTGATATTCACAATATTATAGCTTGCAAGGGATTCTTATAGCACTAAAATATGCATCAATATTGTTGTTTACAAAGGATTCTTATAGAGCTGAACAACACATCAATAATGTTGTTTACAAGGGATTCTTATAGCACTGAACAACGCATCGAGCCTTTAACATATATATAACTAATATAACAATCGTATGTTATTGTTATTCTTTTGATTGACACTTTAAGATTTTAATACTAAATCTACATAGCTAATTAATACTCAATTACAACTACAAATACAACGGTTAGATCTATTTGATAAGGCTAACTTCAGGTTTGGTCAAAGGTCACGAGATGTAAACAGGGCTAGAACTAATTCCAACCCTAACCCTGGACCTAGCTCGAATGTTTACCCGAATTCTTAAACCTAACCTACAATCTCACCAACAATCACGTGCCCTAACCTTATTTACGTCTCAGCGACAGTGACGAAAATTGAGCTGGCCATAACAAATAGATTCAGCCTCTTCCTAGATTACATCTTTGTCTATTTATAGGACTTGGAGTCTTCTATATGTCCAATGCAACAGCATTCTGTACAAGTTAGCGTAATTACCTCTTTAAAACTATCAACTAAAATATTGCAAATAGTGTTGTACAGAAACCAGTTCCTTACTTTTAACATTTTTATGTAGATATAAAATTATACAGAATCCTGAAACTTTCAAAGTTTCAAATATGTTTACATTTTCATACTTTTTCAATATTTTGTTTTGGCGAAATATTCGATTGTCAATTCAAATATAATACTACTAAGTACTTGTAGTAGTCATTAAAGCCAAATTCGCTTATTTATACTTTTTCAATAGATTTTTTGGCTAACAATAGGACTTGACATGATGAATTCTTCACATCAATACCATTATGGCACATAGAAATCTAAGTACTTGTAGTGAGAGAGAGAGAAATGGGGTTTAACGCCCTTGACACAAACTAGGTCATTTTGGGACTAACATATGGTTCAATTTTATTTCAATAATTCGTTTGCATGTAGGGGTCTTTAGCAGTGGGAGGAAACTGGAGGACCAGGAGAAAACCCACAAGGTTTTTGTTATGTTTTTTATTGTTTCTATTTTAAATTACATATATATATATATATATATATATATATATATATATATATATATGTGGGCACTAAAATCTTTAATGTGCTTAGGTTCTCTAAGGGCCTTAATCTGATCCTGCTCCAGGAAACCTAATCATACTGATAAAGCATATTGTCTGAATTGTACTGTACATTATAAAACAATGATCACCATGGTTACTTTATGTCTTTTTAAGCAATGAAACTGGTTTATGTATCAAGACATACGATTGGTTTATCTTATCGACTAATAAGGTAATGATTTTATAATGATGTCACTTCCTTTGCAGCTGCAGCTGCAGCTTGTGTTCTCTGGGCATCACGTGGATAGTATTTGGTTAAAGTACTCTGTGGAATTCTTTTCAACATTTCTTTAGGGAAAATTCGTAACAACTGCCAACCTTTATCCAGAGATTCAAAAATTGTTCGATTTTCGTAATGACCTTAAAAAAAGGATAAATCATCAATTAAACATACATTATTCAAGAGCTAAATCGGCCTGAAACGTTATCTAAATTATTAATTAGACATTAATTAACTTTCAGACCATAATCAACTCTCGATGTCATTGCTAGCCTGCAATATTTACTGGATTATGATCCCATTTGTTGCTCAACTTTCATTCATGATTTAATCATGAAATGGATAATCAAGACTATGTTTTTATCGTACCAACTTTAATAATGATGATCGAGGCTAGCGTCATTCCTCCCAACCACTAAATTCTGCAGATTATTGGTTTGGATGCAAGTGTTGAAAATTTATGAGGTCCCTAAATATAACTATAAACCCACCTTGTGAAATAAAGTTTTTCTCAAATTTAGTTAAAAATTCTAAGTATAGTAAATCTTCTGGTGTTAAAGCCTCTTCTCCTACTACAGCTTTCATAGCTTGTACATCTTTACCAATAGCATAACAAGCATACTGTAATAATAATATTACGGTTGTAATAAAATATGGCATGAAATGAAATGAAATGGGGTTTAATGTTCTACTCCGAGCAGGCTAATGAAGACGGAAATTATAGCATAACAATCATACTGTAACAATGAAATCAAATGAAATGGAGTTTAAAGTCCTACTGTTTTGCTCCTAAACTGGGCTAATGAAGACGGGCATATGCCATACAGTGTGCTATGAGGGAAATTTTGCCCCGGCAGCGGCGCTACAGCCTACTCATACATCGAATTCCAACTGCCAAGGGATCTTTTACGTGCCCGCCAATATGTACACGGGACCTCGGTTTTTCGTCCCATCCGAACAACTAGACAGCTGTCCTTGTCAGGCCCTCCGTCCTGCATCACTGACAAGGGGAAACCACAACGGAAAATCTGGATGAACTTTCGTGGCCAATGCCACTGTGATCCCCATATATAGCATAACAAGCATATTGTAACAATAATATTACAGTTGAAATAAACCAGTGGTTGCCAGACAATATACACCCACATTTTGCAAGAGATGGATAGAGAACAAGCTATAAAAAAAAAAGCGATATGTGCAAATATCGAAAGGAACCAAGATCTTTGGGTTATAAACATGCATTTCCAGTTTCATTAATTCTGATGAAAATAGTGACCTCTCGTGTGACCACAAGCTAAAAACTTGAGTTTTCACACAATTAGGAGCCATAATCCATGAAGTTACAGTCCGATACATGCCAAGATCTTTGGGAGATAGACCTTTATTTCAAGTTTCGGCAAAATCGGATAAAAATTGTGACCTGTAGAGTTTCCACAACGGACATCCAGATGGACAGGGGCAACAACAATATACGTCCACATGAAACTGTGGGCATATATAAATGGCAAGATTAACGGAAAAACCCATGAGGTTAGACAGATGGCCCTACTATACAGGTTGGGAATTGAAACTATGCGACTTGACTCAATGGCCGACTCCATATGATCTAAAGCACATGCCTTGGATCATTCGGCTCCCCCCCATTTAAAAAGATGTACTTACCAATTGATTAGAAACATCAGCATGATCTTCTCTTGTCATACCTTCACCAATAGCAGATTTCATCAATCGAGATAAAGATGGTAATACATTGATTGGTGGATAGATCTAAAATAAAACAATGTTTACAACCTATTTTAAACTCAACCTGTCAAAGGATCTCTTATTTATACATAAATGTGTACAGGGGACCTTGATTTATTGTCCCATCCTAATGACTAGACAATGTTATTGCCATGCCTTCTGTACTGCACCATTGACTAGGGGAAACTGAATCAGATACCTACTGGTTAGTGAGCCAGTGCCTTACGCATAAAGTTTGCTAGTATATATAGCCTCCCAATACAACGCGCACCTGCTAACCATTCGGCCAACCAACACCTTTTTTTACCAATGAATAAAGTTTGCTAGTATGTATAATCACCCCATGATTTTTCGTGATTTGCATACCTGTCTGTTGTGAAGTTGTCGATCAACATATATTTGACCCTCTGTGATATAACCTGTTAAATCAGGAATAGGATGTGTTATATCTGAAATAAATAACATACAAGATGTTACAATAAACTACACGACCCAAATAAAATACAGGATATATAGGATGTGTTATATTAGTCTCAAGTTATAGGAGTGGGGTGAGGGATATAGGAAATCTTCGGTTGGCCTGGCAATCCAATGAGAGTGAGAGAGAAGTGGGGTTTAATGTCCACTCGACATAAGCCAAGTCACTTTGGGACAAACATAAGGTTCAAATTTATTGTGCTTGTGCAAAGGGGTCTTTAGCAAGGTACTCCTCATCACGTACAAGCTGTTTTTTAAACCACAACTCAATGACATACCTCAATAATTTCACGTGCACGAGTTAACCATTACGCTCACCACCATGTAATACAAGAATTGGGAAGGATATAATAAAGATGGAAAGGAGGAGGCAACTCATCAATTCACAAGGTTTTATTTGTTACCTACCATCATTAGGCATAGTTAAAATAGGGATTTGTGTAATTGAGCCATTTCTTCCTTCAACCCGACCAGCTCTTTCATATATAGTAGCTAAATCAGTGTACATGTAACCTGGGAAACCACGACGACCAGGTACTTCCTCTCTAGCAGCTGATACCTATATAATTATATAAACATTCATAATAACAAACAGAAATACGAGGAATTACATACTATACCAATCTGATTAAAACACAGATCCTAATTTGTTTCTTTTTAATAGTTCAAAATTTCGTTTTATTTGTCTTTACTACACTAGGATCTGAAGAGTTGTTATATAACCCGTGTTCTGGATGATGTGAGGGATAAGACAATAAAACCAGCTGTTGCATGGAGTTTTTAGGGTGAGGTTCACAGAACATTAATCAATGTCTGATGTACGACTTAGTAATCGGATCAGTGACATAAATGGTTTCATTGGATGTTTGGATTGTACATAGTATATACATTTCGTACCTTCTGTCTGTATCAGTATTAAGCTACAGATAGAAGGTACGAAATATATATACTATGTACAATCCAAACATCACTGTCCCTGCATCTGATTGCTAAGTCGTACTGCCTCATCTCCATATTGATGTCTGATATATTGTTTGAATGGCTTGATAACGACAAGAGAATCATTGTTGAAATGTAGCTTTAATAGAAATACAGTAATTGTTAACCATAGAACTGTTGTGTTTATTTTTTAACTTCCTACCCGACTGGAATATTGTAAATGGTTGAATAACACAGTGAACCATGACTCACCTCTCTTAAAGCCTCAGCATAAGAACTCATATCAGTTAGAATAACCAGTACGTGTTTTTCACATTGATAAGCCATATATTCAGCTGTTGTCAGGGCAATACGTGGGGTAATAATTCTTTCAATACTGTAAAAATAAAATATTCAGTCAGTGAATTATCATCAATATTTTTTTTTACAAAATTTACCTATTTAATTCCACTATCCTCATTTATGGATCAGAGAGGGCGAGAAATGGGGTTTAACCCCCACTCAACACAAATCAGAAAGGGAGAAATATTGTGTTTGAAACAAACTAGGTCTTTTCAGGACTAAATAGAGGAGGAAAACCAGGTGATCCAAGAAAACCCACAGGGTTATACAGGCTACCCTACTCCTTGTCAAGTTTAAGCAGGAAATCGAGATCATGCCACTTGACTCAATGACAGAAATGATATCAAATGGGGTTTAATGTCCTACTGATCTGCTACAACTGGGCTAATGAAGACGGGCATATGCCATACAGTGTGCTATGAGGGCAATTTTGCCCGGGCAGTGGCCCTATCCCAGATTCTTATATCAAATTCCAACTGCAAAGGGATCTTTTATGTGCATGCTAATGTATACACAGGACATGGGTTTTTTGTCCCATCCAAATGACTAGGCAGCTGTCCTTGTAAGGCCCGTTGTCCTGCATCACTGACAAGGGGAATCCACGTCGGAAAATCCTGACAAACTTTCTCAGCCAATGCAGGGATCCAACACGCGACCTCAATGCTAGCAAGCCAGCATCTTACCCATCGTGGCTTCCAACTCAATGACAGGCCTTGTTATTTCACGCACACACGTTAAACCACCAGACCACCCAACCCCGCATGTATTTAGAAATGGATATGAAAACCAATTTCAGCTTACGTAGGATCATTGGCTAAATTCAAGAACAGACAGACATTTTCCATGGAACCATTTTCTTCAAAATCTTGTTTAAAGAATCTAGCTGTTTCCATATTAACCTGTAAAATAACATGACATGAAATATGTTAAAAAATTGAATGGGGTTTAGAGAGAGAGAGAGAGAAATGGGGTTTAACGTCCACCCGACACAAACTAGGTCATTTCAGGACTAACATATGGTTTAATTTTATTTCAATAAATCGCTTGCGCATAGGGGTCTTTAGCAGTGGGAGGATACCTGATGACCCGGAGACATCCCACGAGGTTGGACAGGCGACCCTACTGGTGTATCGAAACCACGCCAGTTGACTCAATGACAGACATTATGATACAACATGCTAACCATTCGGCCATCCAACCATCAGCAGTGGAAGGTGATTAGCTTGCATGTAGTGGCTTCTAGCAGTGGAAGGAAACCGGAGGATCTGTCATAGAAAATAGATTCTACAAATTTTAACCTGATCATTAAAATAAACATAATTGAAAACTTACTCCCATAGCAGCAAAAACAATAGCAAAGTTGTCTTCGTGATCATCCATGACACTTTTACCAGGTAATTTGACCAAACCAGCTTGTCTACAAATTTGAGCAGCAATCTGAAGAAAATAAGTTGGTAACATTTTCATAAACAAAACACAGGTAGTAATAACATGTCATCAAACGAAAGAAAAGAAAGAAATGGGGTTTACGTCCATTCAACACTAACTAGGTCATTTCGGGACTAACATATGGCTCAATTTTATTTCAACAATTTGCTGGCTCGTTGGGGTCTTTGTCTTTAGCAGTGGGGGGAAACAGGAGGACCCAGAGCAAGCCACGAGGATAGATAAATAGCCCTAATCCTTGTCACATTCAAACGGGGAGTCAAAACCAAGCCATTTGACTCAATGACAAACCCTATAATCTAACACGCACATGTTAATCATTCAGCCACGCCAGTTGACTCAATGACAGACCTTATGATACAGCGCACATGCTTACCATTCAGCCACCCACATCCCCCGTTCATTGAACAAGTGTTATTTATTTCTATACTTACTTCATTATGTGGTAAACCGGCAGCTGAGAATATAGGGATTTTTTGACCTCTAGCGATAGAGTTCATGGTATCTATAGCTGATATACCTGTCTGTATCATCTCTTCAGGATAAATACGAGACCACGGATTAATAGGTTGACCTACACGTAAAATAAAAAAATAATATTAAAATAAATCCTGTGCTAAACAACCTTATGAAAGTTTTACAATCTGGTTAAAATACAGATCCTATTTCGTTTCATTTTTATAGTTCAAAATTTCGTTTTACTTGTCTTTACTACACTAGGATCTGGAAGAGTTGTTATATAATCTGCATTCTGGATGATGTAAAGGATTAGCCAATGAAACGGTCAGTTACGGTGTGTGTTTGGAGTGAGGTGCACGGAACTGTGGATATCCCACTAGAAACATTAACGCTGATTGGTTAATCAAATGTCTGACTTCATACGGTCAAAAGCCGCTCGTATGACCCCTGACACGACTTTCCACTACAACCGGCCAGATCTTCGTGTAGTAGAGGCCACGAAAATATAAAAAACAAAACAAAATATAGATCTGTATTTTAATCAGATTGGAAAGAATATTGAAATGGTCTCCGTCCTTTAGTTCTGTTGGTCTACCAATTAAAGGGAAATTAGTTAAGATTAGATAAAGAGCTGACAGTTCTCGCTATAATAGTTAAAAATAAGATAACGTAAAAATAATATGCGGAAAATTTCAGTCAAATTGTATTACTCTGAACCGAGATATCGTCGATTCAATTTAAGACTAGCCTCGATCGTCATTACAAACATTGGTACGATAATAAACAAAGTCTCAATTATCCATTTTTACGTTAAAATTATCCATCACAAAATCTGTTCAAATCCAGTAAATATCGCAGGCTAACGATGGCATCGAGAGTTGATTATGGTCTGGATAAGTTAAATAATGTCTAATTATTAATTCAGATAACATTTTAGGCCTAAAGAAAGACCTGCAATAGGCAGATTTAGCTCTTGCATAATGTATGTTTAATACCAGTACGTAATTATCTTATTACACTGGGCAGCATTAAAACTTATTCAACGCAATTTCTACAAAATAGAACTAAAAGACAAAGCACTTACTTTGAAAGTCATTCAACTTAATTCTACAAACAGATTGTAAGTAACTTACCCTGAATATCTAAATAATCTTCAGCTAAAACTGATGGTCCTTTATCAATAGGTTTACCAGATCCATTAAATACTCGACCTGTACGTAAAATATAAATCAATTGAATAAATATAGTTCTTTTTGCAATTTTGGGACTAACATATGGCTCAATTTTTTTTAGCAGGGGGAGGAAACTGGAGCACCGGGAGAAAACCCACGAGGATGAACAGGTGACCATACTTCTTGTCACATACAATCGGGGAATCGAAACCATGCCAGTTGACTCAATGACAGACCTTATGATACAGCACACACGCGCCAACCACTCAGCCACAGCCCACCCCACCCCACCCCCAGTACCGGGAGTAAATCTACGAGGTAAAACAGATAGCCCGACTCCTTGTCACGATCAATGACAATTGACTCAACAACGCCCATTGACTCAAAGACAGACCTCGTTCGGCCTTCCATCCCCCAAGTGTTGTATAAAGAACAAGATAACTTACCCAACATGTCTTCTGAGACAGGCATTCTTAAAATATCGGCTGTAAATTCACATGTTGTATGTTTAGCATCAATACCTGATGTACCCTCAAATACCTACAACACAAAAACAATACTTAACATTTTATAAAAATAATAATTAATGATTACAACAATTAGTCTTAACCCCTTAACTGTGTAATTAATTTGACGTCAACTACCCCCTATTGCGTAATTGATTTGACAAAAAACGTCATATTTGGGCCTATTTTTTCCTGAATACAAATTTGAGTGGTCTTAAACCAAAAAAAAACTAACAGTAAATAGAGTTGTCTCCCTTAATTAGATTCATCGACCAGGCGTAATAATACGTCTTTTCCGCATGGTATGATTGTGTTCTAAGAATAGGTTGGGGAAAATACCTTCAGGGCGTTATATTACGTCCTACACACGGTGAGTGGCAGTTGTCCAGGACGTTATATAACGTCCTACGCAGTTAAGGGGTTAAAGACAATTAACAAATCAATATCTAAAATTAAGCTAAGGGCAGTATCAAATATCATTCAATTATGTGGAACACAACCTTGAAGAATTCATTTTATATGGACTAATTATTTATAATAAAATGCAAATCATTTATATGGATTATTTGCATTATATTATTTTCTAGCGTCGTTTCCCCTTGTCAGTGGTGCAGGATGGAGGGCCCGACAAGGACAGGTGTCTAGTCAATTGGATTGTACAAAAAAAAACAAGGTCCTATGTACACACTGGCGTGCATGTAAAAGACCCCTTGACAGTTGGAATTCGATATAAATAAGAGTGGGTCGTAGCGCAGCTGCCCTGGCAAAATTACCCTCATAGCACACTGCATGGCATTTGCCCATCTTCATTAGCCAATCGGAACAGAACAGTAGGACATTAAACCCTATTTCATTTCATTGCATTATTATTATGAAACAAAATGAAATGGGGTGTAACATCCTACTTTTTGGCACCTAATGGGTTAAAAGAGTGTACTATGAGGAAAAATTTGAGCTGACAGCATCACTACAGCCTACTCTTTATATTGATTGAATTCTAACTGTCAAGGGGTCTTTTACATGCACACAGGGCCTTGGTTATTCGTTCACCTCAAACGACTAGACAGTCTCCCTTTTTTTTTTTATTTATTTTCCAAGAAGCAGTCCTTTTGAGTTATAAGTATACACAATAATCTTCTGATCAATACATATATATATGATTTATAATAAATACCTCAACCAGGGGCGGATCCAGGATTTTCAGAAGGGGGGGGGGGGTGCTGCCACCACTTGGGAGTGCGAAGCCCGACTCTCTGTGGGCAGACTGACGGGCAATCAACCAAGTCACCAACTGGTTCGTTACGGAGTAAATTACGACGGTGATCACCACCGCCAAATATGGGGGGCGTGCACCGGATGTGCATCCCCCTCCCCCTGTACCCACACCTATGTACAACAGCCTTTGATCAATAAATATATATATATGATTTATAATATATACCTGTACAACAGCCTTTGAGCCACTAACTTCCAGTACCTGTCCACTTCGTTGACTTCCATCAGCTAACGTTAAGTTAACAATCTCAGCATATTTAGGGAACTAAAAGTAAAGAATTTATATCTATATATATTGCTTAAAGATATATTATGGAAGATTAGATAAAGAGCTGGTAGTTCTCACTATAATAGTTACAAACTAGATAATGTAAAGGGAATAAGCTGAAAATTTCAGTCAAATTGTTCCACCCTGTATTTAGCGATTGAGTTTTGGACCTAGCCTCGATCATCATTACTAAAGTCGGTACGATAAGAAACATAGTCTCGATTATCCATTTTTTTAAATTTAGTCAGAAGCAGCTGACCAGGTTCTAATCCAGTAAATATGGCAGGCTAACGATGCCATCTAGAGTTGATTATGGTCTTGATAAGTTAAATAATGTCTAATTAATAATTTAGATAACATTTCAGACATAAAGAAAGACCTTGCAACAGACAGATTTAGCTCCTGCATAATGTATGTTTAAATAATAGGCTGTCAAATCACCATTACACAATCATAGGAATCATTCTATAACAATCACAGAAAAAATTAAATATATTCTGGAAAACTAAGTATGAAGAAATTTTCTTGATTGTTATGGGTTGTGGTCAAACAGAAAAGGATAATGATGCCAGATTGACCGAGACAACCCACACAAGTCATATTGTTCTAATAATAACACTGCTCCATAGAATTGGCAAAACTTAATAAATGAAATTGAAGAAGATAAAAGTCAATTTTCGCAACTGGCAATAATGAAAAATATAGAATTAATAGGATTATCTTCTACTCCATTCATCAATCTCTCAATTAATTTAAATATTTTACAAATAATGTTGATAGAAAATCATTAAAATAATACCTTCACATCATCCAATATAACTAAAGGTCCATTCACACCAGACACTGTCTTATATGCTGAAATAAAAACACATCAAACAGATTAAAATCTAAACTATAAATCCAAACAAACATTCTATAAACAAATCTAAATTATCTATAAATCAAAACATAGTTTCTGTAAACATATTTAAATTATCTATAAATCAAAACATAGTTTCTGTAAGCAAATTTAAATTATCTATAAATCCAAACATAGATTCTGTAAACATCTAAATTATCTATAAATCAACACATAGTTTCCGTAAACAAATCTAAATTATCTATAAATCCAAACATAGTCTCTGTAAACAAATCCAAATTATCTATAAATCCAAACATAGATTCTGTAAACAAATCTAAATTATCTATAAATCCAAACAAAAATTCTGTAAACAAATTTAAGTTTTATCAAATATCAAGATTTGGATATTAGCCTTGAGGATTTCAAATCGCTTGCAAACTACAATATTATGAACTTCAAATGAATGCGGAACAGGTATATCCATTGAAATATGGTTCAATCATATTCAGTATTTACAAAGATATCATCAATTGAAAATTTAACAGCATGGTCTAAAGTGTGCGCTTTAGATAATAAGGTCTGTCATTGAATCAAGTAGTGTAGTTTCGATTCTACCCGACATAGAGTAGGATCACCTTTCCAGTCTCGCCGGTTACTACTGCTAAACACCTCTAAGCGCAAGCAAATATTGAAATAAAATTGAACCATTAGTTACACCTGAAATGACCTAGATGTCTCGAGTGGGCATTAAAACCCCATTTCTTTCTCTCTCTGTAATTGACACTGAATAACTAATTACAAAACAAAACAGCATCTTGATTATTAAATCTTATGAACACATCTAAATCATTTAAAAAAATAGCTCTTTTTTTGTGAATTGAAATGAAATGGGGTTTAACATCCTACTGCTCCAACTGGGCTAATGAAGACAGACATTTTTTTGTACTGTGCATGTAAATATCGTGTAACGCATGAATAAACTGAAAGAAATACTGAATAATGAAACAAAGTGTGACAGATGGTGAATTGAGTAGTTCAATATCTCGTACCCGCATAAAACAACATATATAATTATGGAAGCAGGTATGTTGTAGTACAATAAAACAAAAACTATTGAGAATTATGAATAAGAACAAAAGAGTTACATTAGTCCAAACGAATTCAATTTTCAGTTCCTCAGGGTACAGGAATCTGACCTGCTATCCATATAATATGCATACACCATGTCCAACCAGACAATATTTAATAAAAAAGAACTGGAATGCAATGCCTTTTGAAGCCTCGATTTTACCTGCTCTAGGCTCGGTTTTATTCAACAATTCGTAATGTCAGGCAATTTAACCTCTGTCGATTCACTCATATGTTTTTTCTTCAATCTAGTCATTTTGATTTGCATAAATGCTGCAAAAAATGGTATCAGAGCCACTTGTTTCCAATATTTACATTATTTTCACCCATTACCATTTTGTCATCGACACAAACTAGGTCATTTCAGTACTAAAATATGGTTTAAATTTACTTCAATATTTTGCTTGCGCATAGGTGTCTTTAGCAGTGGGATGAAAACAGAGGACCCAGAGGAAACCCACGAGGTTGAAAAGGCGACCCTACTGCTTGTCACGTACAACCGGGAATCGAAACCACGCTCGTTGGTATAAGTATATTGATGTCAATTGTAATTTGTTCTATAACAGAATCATACGAAAAAAGTCACTTGTGTCAAGAAAAGCCAAAGCCTAACTTTATTCAACACAAATTTAATAGACGAATTATTCAATTGGTATAATATGATGTCCCTTTCTCTCTGACAAGGTTAATTAATACAGTCCTATATTGAAGAGAAGTAAAGTGATCGCAGTCAGACTTGAAGCAAAACAGATCAATAATTCCTGAATTCTACACTAACCCAGCTACTGACATTATACCACAGAATATGTTCCCAGTTTTTATATGCCAAATCTAGTCATAGTTTTCAACTCTTTTGGTTTGAGTATTTATATGGCAAAAGTAATCATAGTGTTCAACTCTTTTTGTTTGAGTATTTATATGGCAAATCTAATCATAGAATTCAACCCTTTTGGTTTGAGTATTTATATGGCAAAAGTAATGATAGTGTTCAATTCTTCTTGTTTGAGTTTTTTTTATGGCATTGTATATTCACCCTTTCTGTATCAGTTTTTATATGACATCAATAATCTACCCTTTTTGCATGAGGTTTTATATGGTACCATTTTTTACTTTAAATATTTATATGATAAATGGAATTCACCATTTCTACTTTAGTTTTTATACTAATCAATCAACGTTTTTTGCTTTAGTTTTTATATGACATTAGTGATTCATCTTTTTAACTTTAGTTTTTATATATATTGTAACCGTAATTCATCTTTTTTCTTTAAGTTTTCAAGCAATATTCTATTTTTTGTCAAGCTTAAAGTTGCAATTTCATATTTTTAAGTTATAATTTTAAAATTTATTAAAATAAAGCCTTTAAATAGATGGTATCTATAACAGTCATACCATGTTAAATAATAATCCTAGTAATCCTATAATTCACTATTGCCAGTTGAGAAATTGGCAAAAATATCATTTTCAACTTCAAATTCAAACGTTTGAAGATAGCTATGCCATGGGGGGGGGGGGGGAAATAGGAAAACAAGGGAGGTAATTGTGTTATTATTTCCTGTGTCAATGATTTTTAAGTGTGGGAAATAATGCCTATGATCGTATAATAGTGAGTTGACAACCTATTGAGCAAAAGACATAGAAATAATTATGTTTTGACTTTCTTAGAAAATATGAAATTATCGCTTTAACATGGCACTGTGAATCCACTATTCTGGTTTGGGTTTTGTACGGTCATTAATATTAATCCACCCATTCTGCTTATAGTTTTCATATGGCACTAACAGTATTAAATACATTGTAGGTCTATATTAAAAATAGGTTCGTCTATTCTCTGTAGGAACCAAATGGCTGAACATATAAATTTAAAAATGAGTTCATAATAATAGTCAGTTCTATTTATTTTGTATTTGGTGTAGTATTTAATGACGAAATTGACAATTCGTTGTATTATGGATGTTACAAAAAATAGAGATAAACCCAACACATGCAACATCAGGTAACAGAGATAACACATAATCCACAGGTAAAAACAAGCAACTTAGGTCACTTAGGATACAATTTACCCAAATTTGCATAGTAGTAATTAAAGATGCATTATGTAAGAGCTAATATTCCTATTGCATGTCTTTATCTTGGCTTCAAATGTTATTTATATAAGAGAGAGAGAGAGAAATTGGGTTTAATGTCCGCTCGACACAAACTGGGTCCTTTCGGGACTAACATATGGTTTAATTTTATTTCAATAATTCGCGTAGGGGTCTTTTTTAGCAGTGGGAGGAAAACGGGAGGACCCGGAGAAAAGCCACAAGGTTGGACAGAGATTTACAAGAATTAGAATGCCCTTGAGATTTAAAAATTTTACAATACAATGGATAATTGAGTTTTAGTCTTGTTTGTGCTGTACCATTGCTACACTCTACATCTTCAAACACTCACCACTTCGCTCAGAACAAAATAATTTGAATCAAATTTTCAATATGTCCATTTTTCATTATTTATCTATTTTTGAACTATTACTATTATAGCCAGGGGCGTACATAACGATTTTGTTTGGGGGGGTGTTTAGCGAAAATGCGACCGACTGATGCCCATACCCCTAGTACGAGTGACGCAGTCAGGAACTGAGCACCACAGGTGCGAGTTTTGTAGGGGCCATGTGAAGTAGAGGATCTAGATAGGGGTGAGGGTGGGTTCCAAATCTAGGGCGCAACCTCAGCCACAATCCCACCCCACAATGAATGTCAACAAAATACTGGCTATAACATTAAGCGTCCCGGTAGAACATAGATGGTATTGTATAATTATATAGTTGTTTGCCGATCGTTGTCTCGCTGGAAAGCAGTTTTATTTAAGTTGACATAAAGTTTATGTCATATATGATTGTGCCTATAACACTGAGCAACCTGAGAAAATTTTGAAAAATTGAGTCAATATCTTGGCATTTGAGGTCATTGCTGGGAGAAATTCTTGTGGACGATGGGGCCAGAAATGTGAGTCAATTAGACAAAATCTCGAGATCTGCCCCCTGTCAATTCCGCCTGTTTTGCAAGAGTTGACAGAACTTTTGTATAGTCTGACGCCCCACACACCAGTGCCAGTGGTACTACTAACATAACTAGGCAGTTCAGTATAACCGTGAATATGATAGTGCCGAGACAGTACAAGACAACAGAGGAGTGGAAGAATGATGTTATAATGGAATCGAGCACCGCAGACGCGAAAAAATTTGAGATGTGTAACCGAGCTTTTAATTTTTGGGACTGGGCCTGACAATTTTAGTCAATGTCATGGCAAATGGATCCAAATTCTCGTTAACGAGAGGATAAGAAATGGGACAGAATCTTGAGGACTATCTGTCAATGTCGCCTGTTTTGTGAGAGTAGAACTAACAATTCTACAGTCTTTTGACCCACGACTCACTCACTAGTGTTACAACTAACTGGGCGATTCACTGTAACTGTGAATATGATAGTGAAGAGATAGTAAAAGTCAGAGAAGGAGTTGAAGAATGATGGCATAATGGAATTGAGACCGACTATTTTTTTGCCATGGGTTGAAAAACATTTTTTTCAAACATGATAAGTCGACAAGGTTATTTTATACTAAAGTTTTGCGTGAGTAGTGTGGCGTGTGCAGTGAGCATTTATTTTGATACCGGCTGCTCATATCTTACGACCGACTGCACTGATTTTGCGACCGACTAGTATTTGGGATCTATTCTGGCATTATTTGTTTACCTCATTAATTCATTAAGACGGCAATGCATAATTTTGAGACCGACTGCAGTGACTGCCTTATTTTGAGACCGACTATTTTTCTCCCTAAGGGAAATTTTGTTCTAAGACCTACATACTCACAACAGAATAAGAGTGAAACACATTAAGTTGACAAGGTTATTTTATACTAAAGTTTTGCGTGAGTAGCGTGACGTGTGCAGTCAGCACTTATTTTGATACCGACTGCTCTTATTTTGCGACCGACTGTACTGATTTTGCCACTGCTCTTATTTTGCGACCGACTGCACTGATTTTGCGACCGACTATTTTTTTTCCTACCCCCCCACATTTACGCCCCTGATTATAGCAAGAACAGTCTGCTCTTTATCTAAATCTTACAGAATGTATCGTTAACATGACAAGTCTATAATCAACACCATTGGTTGGCAAAGAATTACAAGAATTAGAATGCTCACGAGATTTAGAAATTTAACGATAGAACGGATAATCAAGTTTTAGTCTTGTTTGTCCAGTGCCTTCGCTATGATAATACACAATGTACGCTACATCTTGGGACCCTAATTACTTCGCTCAAAATAATGTAATTTGATAATATTCATTTTTTATTACCTAGTTTTGAGCTATTATAGCAAAAATGGCCAGCTCTTTATCTAAATCTTACATAGAGCATCTATAAAATAGTTCTATTGCGCCCTCACCCCACTATCAAACAATTCATAACTAAATAAAATAGTTCTATTGCACCCTCACCCCACTATCAAACAATTCATAACTAAATAAAATAGTTCTATTGCACCCTCATCCCATTATCAAATAATTCATAACTAAATAAAATAGTTCTATTGCACCCTCATCCCATTATCAAATAATTTATAACTAAATAAAATAGTTCTATTGCGCCCTCACCCCACTATCAAACAATTCATAACTAAATAAAATAGTTCTATTGCACCCTCACCCCACTATCAAACAATTCATAACTAAATAAAATAGTTCTATTGCACCCTCATCCCATTATCAAATAATTCATAACTAAATAAAATAGTTCTATTGCACCCTCATCCCACTATCAAATAATTCATAACTAAATAAAATAGTTCTATTGCACCCTCATCCCATTATCAAACAATTCATAACTAAATAAAATAATTCTATTGCACCCTCATCCCATTATCAAACAATTCATAACTAAATAAAATAGTTCTATTGCACCCTCATCCCATTATCAAACAATTCATAACTAAATAAAATAGTTCTATTGCACCCTCATCCCATTATCTAATAATTCATAACTAAATAAAATAGTTCTATTGCACCCTCATCCCATTATCAAATAATTCATAACTAAATAAAATAGTTCTATTGCACCCTCATCCCATTATCAAATAATTCATAACTAAATAAAATAGTTCTATTGCACCCTCATCCCATTATCAAATAATTCATAACTAAATAAAATAGTTCTATTGCACCCTCATCCCATTATCAAATAATTCATAACTAAATAAAATAGTTCTATTGCACCCTCATCCCATTATCTAATAATTCATAACTAAATAAAATAGTTCTATTGCACCCTCACCCCATTATCAAATAATTCATAACTAAATAAAATAGTTCTATTGCACCCTCATCCCATTATCAAATAATTTATAACTAAATAAAATAGTTCTATTGCGCCCTCACCCCACTATCAAACAATTCATAACTAAATAAAATAGTTCTATTGCACCCTCATCCCATTATCAAATAATTTATAACTTAATATAAACCTATATAGGTTATCTAACTGCAGTTATATCAGGATGAAATTCATTATCTAACATTGTATCATTGTATAAATGTGTTTTTTTACATATAATAAATACTTGAACTGCTGTTCCTTTGAAGTTTTTCACAGCTTAAAGATACATTATGAAAGGTTTACATATAGAGCTGACAGTTATTGCTATAAAAGTTCAAAATTAGATAATGACAAGGGAATATGTTGAAAATTTCAGACAAATTACTTCATTTTTTTGGCTATAAAATAAACGTGTAGCCTCGATTGTCATTGATGCCGCTGTTACGACAATAAACAAAGTCTTGATTTTCCATTTACGGCAAATCATCAACAGCAAATTGTATTTAAATCTACTTAATATCAGAGCTATCCGATGGCATCGAGAGTTGATTGATGATTATGGTCTTGGTATATTAATTTTAATTAAAATGTCTAATTTATAATTTATATAACATTTAAGGCCTAAAGTAAGACCTGCAAAAAGACAGATTTAGCTCTTACAAATGCCTGTTTAATTTCTGGTAAAATGTACTTAAAGATGCATTCCCACTAAAGTATCTATCTCGTAGTTATTGGTAATAGAAGTATGACAATTTCAGTATGGAAAATAGACACCTAATCTCACTAGAAAAATACTGGATTCCCTGAATTTCTTACAGACTATATACCTGTCACAATTCTATGGAATACAATTACTGCTTATTACTGAACGACGTTTCTACTAGGCTTCTCTAGTCATTATCAAGCAATGATAAAATATTGTCTTGTTATATTTACATATTTTATCATTGCTTGATAATGACTAGATAATCCTAGTGGAAACGTCGTTCAGTAATAAGCAGTAATTGTATTCCATAGAATTGTGACCTGTATATAGACTAACATTCATTTTTTTTTTTATTTCCAAAATATCCTCAAATCAAAAACCAAATAATTTTATTTTCAAAATTTTATTAAATCAAAAACCAGATATAGCATAAATAACTGTTAAAACTGCCCTTTAACTGACTGTAAGCCGATATCATATCTTGGTACATTCATCTGAAATGAATTGACAGACACATACATGCATCTGACCTATTTTGACCCACACATAATTATACTCATACTAGCATTGAGTAAAGACACTGTTCATGACAGAATGTAAGATAAATATTATTACTCTACATAAGTAAATAAATTAAACAAAAGAAAAAGTAAACAATATGAACACGGATGTCGAGAAAAAGCTCTCGTGCACACATGACAAATAGACTAATGAAGAGATTAAGCAATGACATCCAAGTTTTTAAAACAAGTTAAAATTAATATATTAATTACTACAACATTTTAAATTTGAATTACTTAGGCCTCACCAATTTGATTACAAATTCTGCCTCCAATTTCTTTGAGAGAAAAACTTATTTAAAGTTTAAAAGTACTGTATTTTGTTGTAGGGTTCTAAACCTTTTAGTTACAAAATTTAAGTCTTGAAATACATTTTTCACATGATTCAAGTGACTATATATTTATCAACTCGGGAGATTTGATGGCCGGATGGTTTGCATGTCCGTGTTGTATCATTGGGTGTCATTGAGTAAACTGGCAAGGTTTCGATCCCCCGGTTGTACGTGACAAGGAATAGGGTCACCTATCCAACCTTGTGGGTTTTCTCTGAGTCTTCAAGTTTCCACCCACTGCTAAAGACCCCTACGCGCAAGCCAATTATTGAAATAGAATTGAACCATATGTTAGTCCCGAAATGACCTTTTTTTGTGTCAAGTGGACATTAAACCCCATTTCCCTCTCTCTGCCTCAAGACAAAAGTCAGTGTTGAGACATTCAATATGAAACTAAAATTAGTAAACAAACCGAATTGTTATCAAAACAAAATTTTAATTGTATCTCCCTCCATTTATTATGAATTGTAATTAACACATCAGATCAGCCAATTGAATTATTCATTTTTACTTAAATCACAGAGGTTTAACTTGCTATTTAAAAAGATTGAATTAATGTCAAACTTACTCCACTTTTTAACAAATTTATTCAGTACCAGTAGACTTATTTATATTTAATATTAACTGATCAGTGATCACTACAACAGAGTTATGGCAAGTTTAGACCTAGTGGTGGGCTAATTCAATCGAGTAACTTCACTTGTCTTTACCTATAGACCATGAGTGTCAAAAATACAAAGTATACCTAAACGTTATCAAATGATGTCTCTTGCCTAGATACCCTGGTATTCCAGCACAAGAATACCTCTCTTAAATGTACAATGAATCTAAATAAAGGTTATCTCAAGGTGGATTGGCTGAATTTTACCCTGGTCAAAATTAATTAAATCAATATTAATAATAAACGAAACACACAATTAAATAAAGACGCTCAAGAAAAACGTTTATGTACAAATATAACACTATTAAAGCTAAAATGCTGCATTTACTATAAGTATGTTATAAATATTTTTGGGGGAATTATTACTTGTAGGTCCACTCATTGATAAGCAGAAAAAAACCTCAAAATAAGCAATTTTTCCATTTAGAATCAAGCTCCAACCGAATATTTATTTATTTATCACCAATGTCATCAATGACATTGTTATTGATTACCTCGTATTCCAGTCTACTCAACACAAGTTCAACATCTCAAATCAAATTTGGGCTATCTGTAGCCATATAGCGTACGACATCCTCGCAGATAATCATATATTCATACACGAGGCGTGACTTTACATTCAGGTAAGTATTCTGCACTGAACCCGGATTGTCCTAAAAACGTAACCGGCACCAAAACCTTTTAGTAACATGACATGCCAAAATTTATTCAATTTTTTTCAAGTGCTGCTATTCGTTGTTTATTTTTAAGTCTAGCGGCGATGTCAAATTCAATGGAACCTTCGAAGTTTACTTACTGATACGGGGTTGTGATATATAATCTCTGGTGATTGCCAACTTTTGTATATTTCGGCCGGCAACATCATTTAACGGACCATTAAGCGAGTTCATGTCCATTCTTCCTCCAGTTTTCGCCATCTTGCTGTCAGCGTGTCATGTGACTTCAGTGTCACGAGTTCACACCAAGTTAGATAACTCTTTAGATCTTTCCATAAAGTTTCCGGTAATTATTGCCGAGCAAAGTGATAATCGCATAAAGTTAGACTTATCAGTTAAATTAAGGTCCATTATTTAGAATCTACATTTACAAAAAATAAAGTTTTAAGGTCTTTTGTTTTCGGCTATTGGGACAAGAGCGTTTTATTAACTATAATAGCGCCCAAAGTATTGGACAAAAAAAAAACGTGACGACACGTCATATCCAAAATTAAATGATTTTCTAAAAAAATAAATAATATATGCAGTTTAAGCCTCAGCTCCTCCTTGTTAGAATTACGTTGCTTTGTCAAAATTTCAGATATATATATATATTTTTTTTTTTTTTATAAAATCATAAAAAAATCCACAGGCACAGGGGCTAATTGTGAAATGGACACACTTCCCATAATGCGCTTAGGGTTTTTGCGCGCCTTTGTTGCTCTTCCTTTGGATTTTTTGACAATATCCTCCATGCTCAGATTCTGATCTCAATTGGGTTATTTAATACATACTTCTTGGCAAGATATGCTACTATACACACTAGCATGTTTCACCCAGCACAGTTACATATAATTTCCATATGGCATGCAAGTAAATGGATGGACATATCGTATTAATCAGAGTGGGTGGGGGGTGAACGTGTGTGTTTTAGATCATCAGGTCTGTCATTGAGTCAAGTGCATGCATAGTTTCGATTCCCCACTAGTACGTGACGTGACAATGAGTAGGGTCGCCTGTCCAACCCCCCCACGTAGGTTTAATGAGTAGGGTCGCCTGTCCAAACCCGTGGGTTTTCTCCGGGTCTTCCGATTTCCTCTGCTAAAGACCCCTAAGCACAAGCGATTTATTGAAATAAAATTGAACTATATGTTAGTTCCGAAATGGCATATATTGTGTCAAAAGGACATTACCCAATTTCTCTCTCTCCTGTCCCGGTTTCATAAAACATTCTCAGACTTACGGTAAGAATTTACTCAACTTTCAATCACTGTTTATGAGAAATGTCTTTGATCCAGAAACACAAAAATTGCATATAGTTTCTTATTGATGTATTTGATATGTTAAGACAACAAAAGATTTACAAAGGGCTATATTTTAGTTAAAATAAGACGACCAGAGAGAGAGAGAGAGGGGGGGGGGGGTTAACGTCCACTCGACACAAACTAGGTCATTTCTGGACTAACATATGGTTTAATTTTATTTCAATAATTCGCTTGCGCGTAGGGGTCTTTAGCAGTGGGAGGAAACCGGAGGACCCGGAGAAAACCCACGAGGTTGGACAGGCGACCCTACTCCTTGTCACGTACAACCGGGGATTCGAAACCATGCCGGTCGACTCAATGACAGGCATAAGGCAACCAATTTTGCGTAAATTCTTATTTAAAATCAGAGAATGTTTTGTGAAAACGCATGTTCCTAAAGCAACGACTGCGAGTTCTACAACACCTGTACGTTGTTATAGATTACTTTGCAATTTTGAACTTATAGCTACGTTTTCTCTCTTTTCTGCAAACACGTGAACAGTAGCGTCCAATCAGAAGTTGTGACACTAAGACAATTAAATCAACTATAGCGACCTCCAAGGAAACATTGACATTGAACGAACTTTGAACTTTGCAACTCGATCATCACAGGGAGACATTTTAGCTGGAAAGCGCGAGACCCGGTATTCGCGATGATCGAGGAATCTGATTGGCCCACAAGCTGGGTGAATACCAAATCGAAATTAGTGCCGAAATATGCAGGGTATTACGGAGTTTAGCTCTGTACACACTGTCAACATTTCCGGTAACATCTCGGCAACACACCTGTTCTTTTTTCTGTGTGAAATCCAATCTTTTGTCGAACATAAAGTCAGTAGATAAGACTTAAAAAAAGTTTTTTCGGAAAACAAATATTATGTGAAATGGACAGGAGGTGGAGACAACCCTAATATATACCCAGGGGAGTGTCGGGGGTATTTTACGTACACGCCACTGTGTACACAAGACCTCGGTTTTTCGTCTCATCCGAACGACTATACGTTGTCCCTTGTCAGACCCTCTGCCCTACTCACTGAACCACCGTGGCTCCGGTCGGCACAGAACAATAGGACGTTAAACCCAGGCCCGTAACTAAAGGGGGCGCCCCCCCCCCCCCTGCAAAAAAATTCACCCCACCCCACCCTGTGAAAATAGTGTCGACCAATAAAAAAAAACTCTACATATACAGTGTCCGTCAATTTTACAGCACCCCTGGGAACACTTACCGCACCCCCCCCCCCCCCTCTCGTTGCTCTGAGCTAGTTACGGCCCTGGTTAAACCCCATTTCATCTCATTTCTAATTAGGTGCACGCTAATAAGTACTATCAGTTTTTTCTCCCATCCGAAGGACTAGATTATGATCCTCCTTTTTTACCCGTAATAAATCTGTTTGAATGATTGACACAGGGGACCTCGCCGGAAAATTCCGATAAACTTTCTTGGCCAACGCAGGGATCGAACACGGGGCTCTCGTCTTCATTAGCTTTCTTTTTACACGCGTTATAATTCTGGTTGAATGCATAACCATAATCCTTGCTTGGTGTAAAAAAAAACAACAAACAAAGCTAATAAAAAAGAATAAATACAGTTTTAATTTCATAAAATATAACAAAAATAATCTTTTTGTTGTTGACATTTTTTCATCGGTCAATTATTCTTTGCCCACGAAAAATATTCCCACATTTCGGCAGACCGTTTCATTTGTTTGGGGGTTTTATCGTGACGTTCTTTTCGTTTATTTCTACGATATTTCTTGAAGACATTTCCGCACAAAATATATAAAATATCGAAAATTCGGTCGTTTCTGAATATCCCTGAATATTAATTAAGCTTCCCAAATATTTTTGGAGATGTTGTTTCGGGGCCATAGAAGGGTCCAGATATACCATGGGAGAATGCTGCATCGGAGACGGTCCTGCGCATTTTAGGGTAAGGGTTAGGGTTGGCCCAGGGTTAGGGTTAGGGTTAGCCCTGTCTACATCTCGAGACTCTGACGAAATCTGCTGATCCTAGCCCTTACCCTAACCCTTATCCTAACACACAATCCACATATGACGTCATAAAATGCGCAGGACCGTCTCCGATCTAGCCTTCTCCCATACCATGATCCTATGATAATGTCCTTTTCCACATTCTCTACGCCAGGAAGACATATGTCACCAGGGGGCGGGGAAAATATACTTTGTGTACAATCTGATTAAAACACAGATCCTATTTCGTTTCGTTTTTTATAGTTCAAAATTTCGTTTTACTTTTCATTACTACACCAGGATCTGGAAGAGTGTTATCATTGACGTGTTCTGAATGATGTGAGAGATTAGTCAATGAAATGGTCTGTTACGGCGAGTTCTTGGCCTTTTAATGCACGGTACTGAGGGTAAACCACTAGAAACGTCAACGCTGATTGATTAATCAATGTCTGACGTCATAGGGTCAAAAGTCGCTCGTTTGACCCCTGACGTGAACTCCCACTATAACTTGTCAGATCTTCATGTAGTGTAGGGCATCGAAAGTATAAAAAAACGAAACGAAACATAGATCTGTATATTAATCAGATTGCTTTTTTTGTGTATTTATTAGCGTGTTATGGTGAACCTGACATCTTCATGTCTAAAAGTACCAAGCCGCCAGTAGCTATATATAGAATACCACTAAATGTAGTTAAGCCGAAGGAATATCCATAATTTACTGATGCATTATTTCCACTATATTTAGAAGTCATTGATTTGTAGTGATCCAAATACGTACTGTAAATTATAACTGCTATAAATACAAGAACACCTGAAAAAGAAAACTGATTTTGAGAAAAAGTGAGTTAATTCAAGTAGCATTCGACAAAACTCTGTAGATTCTGTAGGGAACAGGAATCTGACGAGGTTTGCCGAGTGATTCAAGTAGTAGACCACTAAGACCAGGGAACGGTTCCTAGAAAATTCTTAAAGTAAGCACAAAGTCATGCTTCACTTTTGCTTACGTAAGAAACTTATAAAAAATACCGTCCCTAGAAAATTCTCAAGACCATCTTACGAAAGCATAAGTCAAGTATAAGTCTAAGCACATTGTGACAGGTAAAGTTTACCATAAACTTTGGTATGCGAATTACGTCTTAAATTTGTCGTCTGCTTCATTGACGTCATATATAATGGTTCATTTCGATGCATTTGGCATACCACGAGATAAAAAAACGCAGACACATACAAACTAACTGAATAATTGTGAGAGCGTCTGATCTTAAAGTAGCCTGTGTGTTTGTAGCCTATTGTTTACTAATTGGCAAATAAATAAAATGGTTTCAGGGTAGGCCTAGAACTAGAAGCGAAATTTTCTATAGGCCTAGCATTCTTAATTTGAAATTTCTTCTGACTTCTGGAGAAGGATTTCTCTGCCTTGTAATTGTCTCTTTGATATCAAAAGGTGTCTGAATTGCCGTCGAATAACTCTACGGTCAGCCATCTTTTTGAAGCAGAAACAGACTTAAGGTTGGTAAGCCAAACGATTTTAGTGAAATAAATCAAATTCTCTTTATGTTGATATTTTTGTATATCCCCCGCCCACTTGATGTAAAAAAATTTAGTTCATGTAGCCCGTGAATCGAAATGAGTTTGACACCCCTGTCGTAGACCATTGTCGCAGATTTTAGAATGAAATAATTTATTGTCCAGGTAGCAACTAACAGTTCGAGATGTTATAAGGCCACGAGAAACGCCCACCAAACCATTTTGGTTATGGACGACTTTTTTTTTAGATCTATATCGAATTATTGGTAGTTGGTGGGGTGTGGGACAAAGGCCTTGTAGCGTAGAGTGAGGAGAGATTTTGGATTCGATTATCTCCCTTATATAAAAATGAAATGAAATGGAATGGGGTTTAACGTCCTATTGTTCTGCTCCGAACTGGGCTAATCAAGACGGGATACGACGGACAGTGTGCTATGGGGGAAATTCTGCCCA